CGGCGCCAGCGCTTCCGGTGAGCTTTTCCGGGTAGAAATGGCTTTCTACCCGGAAAAGCTCACCGAAAGCGCTGGCGGCGCCATCTTTTTTTGATGAAAAAGTGCTTCTGGTGAGCTTTCTACCCGGAAAAGCTCACCGGAAGCACTTTTTCATCAAAAAAAGATGACGCCCAGCAAACCAGCAGCCCGGTAGGACTTGTTCCACGGACCGGTACCGGTCCACGGACCGGTGGTTGGGGACCCCTGCTTTACATGCTGCTCCCATTAGGATATCTTCTGGATTGACAAATAATCAAGCCACTAGAGGGCACCATAGCTCACAAGTAATGTTCTATGGACCAGAGTCAGCAAGTGTGAGCAAATATCTTAGTACTGACATTTTAAGTTACTCTAATAATGTCCCTAGTTAAAATAGGGGTGAGGTGGGATTTGATATATGTTTTACTAATCTTTCCATGTAGTGATGGAAGGAGAAATTTGATAGGGAAGTTATTACAATTAAAAAATAGTTTCAAAGTTCAAAATTTTCATTAAGTTCATACATTATAGTAATACACTATATACACATCATAGTAATACACACACACACACACACACACAAAATATACATACAGAGGGAGAGACTTTGGTTTTACAATATACATTGTATGAATCCAGCCATTTTACTAAGCAAGCCATGATTAAAATAAAGATTGGGCAGGATTTGTGAACCAAGTCACAGAAAGTACTTTTTCTTCAGCCTGTATGAGAAGCAACAGGAGAGGTTTTCTGAAACCAGGCAAAGGTCTTGTTCAAGAAGTGCCACATAGCTAATCACCATGGGTGTGGCCCCCTAGCATTTTTGTCATAAGAGCAAAGACTGAACATTACCTTCAAATAGTTAATGAGCAGTGTTTGCAGGACCTTCAAGAATGGACTGGAAAATAGGACACTACCTTATACTGATTTTTTTTTTCTTTTTCTAATTTTACATGGTTGTCACAACCTTAAAGATGCCCTCTTTCTTTGTAATTGCCAGTATTAGGAGCCACAGTGGCAGGAATAATAATATGAAATGATAAGGTTGGAATTTTGTTTTTCTTTGGAGACAGATAAAATCCTTTTTGTTGTTGTTGCCTTCAAATCAGTGTCGACTTCTGGATTAGTCCAGTCTTCTTGGTAAGATTATGGAAGTGATTTGTCATTGTCTTCATAACCAGCCCAAGATAAAACCCACCTGGTTTTATGGCATAAGGCAGGGGTCCCCAACCACCGGTCCGCGGACCGGTACCGGTCCGTGGAACAAGTCCTACCGGGCCGCTGGTTTGCTGGGCGCCGCCATCTTCTTTTGATGAAAAAGTGCTTCCGGTGAGCTTTTCCGGGTAGAAAGCTCACCGGAAGCACTTTTTCATCAAAAAAAGATGGCGGCGCCCAGCTGATGCCGGTACTGGGCCGCGGCATAAAAAAGGTTGGGGATCACTGGCATAAGATGCATAGGACTGGCATTCACCATCTGATTTCTAACCTGATGCCTTAATTACTACACTAAATTGGTTGTCTAAAATACCCACACAGAGTTTAAATTATGACAATCATGGTGTTTCTATCCAAAAATAAAAGTATCCCTGAAGCATAAATCACACTGTGTAAAACTGAGAAATTCTGGGTGTTTTTAACTCAAGGAAAAATGAAGCCCTGAATGTACCCAGTTCCAATCTGATAATGGAGCTTTGCTTCCAATTGGTAATTTAGAATATACATAAATTCGATACTTAAGAAAATTTTGGATACAGAAATCAATAGAGGCATCCTTCATTAAACTGCAGTCATACTACAATCCAATCTTGAGAGATAAGGATATAGGAAAGGATGTATATATTTGGTGTCATACAATAGCTCATTCCACCTATATTCTCCATATAAGTGAGAGAGGGCAATTTTTGCAATTTTTTTATTCATCCACTTTCTCATTCTTCTTTGATCTTCCAGTTGTCTAGTTTATCCATTTCTCTCCATCCCATCCTTTTATCATTGCACAGGCATTCATTTATTTTGATTAAAGACAATAATTTCAATTGTATTAATTTAATAATCTTTCATGCATTTATAATTCCTTCATAAGCTTTCCTTTTAACTATGCAGAATAAATCTATTAATTTATTTCTGTCATTTATATGCCATCAATCTACTACGTTGGTCCTAGCAGAGTACATCAATAAAACAATAAAATTAAAGCAATAATAATAATAATACATTACAATAACAGAACATACACTTATCATCCCCTCGCTTCCAGCTCTGTCTTCTTCACCAGGTTCCAGAAGGCCATTAAAGTAAGTTCTGATCTGAGCTTTCATACAAACGAGGGTGTGTCTTCCTGTGTTTTGTCCTTATAAGAACAAGCACCACATTTCAATTTGGCCTCTTTGGCAGAGGGAGGGGGAGAGAAGGAGAGACCATGTCACCCACACCAATTTGTGTAGAATTGGGCAAATTAACTTCCAAATAATCTAAGACTTACTAATATTTTTTTTTATTTGATGATCTGGCCACTGCATGGGTCAAGAGGTCCTTGGATTGCTCTTTTAAAACCACGAAATTAGATTGCTAATGTTCAGTGGAAAAAAATCAGATTTCAACAAAACAGATGGAGACTGCAAAAAAAAAAAAAAAAAGACACATTTTTACCAGTATCTTTATGGCTGTGCTTGCTAAATCTAAGGCTACTGTCAGTTATAGGCTATACATTTGCTGTTTTCACTTTTAAGTGGTAAAAAATAGAATGAAATTTGAAAAACATGGGAGCATGAACTATCTAGGATGTGGGAAATTTATTTATATAGATTTATATGTGGTAGCTGCCCATTTCACCGAAGTGTCTGAGCAGCTTACAAGGATTAAAGCATTATATGTTGCA